CCTCACTTTGGATAACAGGCTTAAGCTTAATCCAGAATAGCATAAACAGTGCTAGCTCGCTGTCATTTTTTAGAATTGAGTAATATTCCATGTGGGCATATACCAAATTTTAATTATCCACTCATGAATTGATGGGCACTTGGGTTGTTTCCATGATCTTGCAATAGTGAATTGTGCTGCCATAAACATTTGGGTGCAGATGTCTTTATAATAGAATGTCTTATGCTCTTTTGCAATCTTACAGTAAATATGAGACATTATTCTTGGTCTTAATTCTGGAGATTGACTTCCAAGACTAAATCCCCACAGAGAGACAGCATCCTGGATAAAACTACAGTGGCTCACATTTTGTGCAAAACTTTTGAAAGCAAAGAGGCTTGGTGATTAAAAGTTGAAGAATTATAGGCCCTCCCTATTTTTGTGTCTGTTTACAATTTGAAATGCTATCACTGAAAACTTAGTCCTAGTGCAACCAGATAATATTGAAAAAAGACCCTGGGAATTTTTCAACTAATCTTGAATGTGATGTACTCTGAGTTTTTAGAGCATTTTACCTGCTATATCAGAAAAAAAGAAAAATGGTTTTGATTCTTCTTTGTTTCTTCCTTGCTTCTGAAATTTGTTTTTAACTTTTGGTAAGTCTAGCATAATTTAACCATTTGGAAATGAAGCTATGTTTTCTAAAGAATAAACTCTATAGTTCCTTGTTATGTGAATTAAAGTCAGGTAAAATTTTGGTTTCTGACAATAATAATGACTTATTTATTGTGCATTTACTATGTAACAGGCATTCTATAAGAACTTTATACATATTATCTCATGAAATCATCACAACTACACATGTGGACATTGTGGTCCAGAGAGGGTAATGAACTTGCCTGAGGTCACAGAACCAATAAGGAATTCAAACCCAGGTGTGTCTGAATTCAAAGTCCATCATCTCAATCACTATATTATTAATATATTGCCTCTTTTCTGAAGAAAAAAAATGTGGTGACATTAGAGGTTGTGGTAATGAGATATAGAAGCCACTAAGGTTGATATTACACAAATGTCTGTCACTCTGTTCTTAAATTTCTGCTTTTTTTATGGCTTGATGAGAAGCATATTCAGCATTTTATGTGTTCATTTCTTATCATCTGAAATTCCTCTTTGTGTACCAAGCCTTTGGCTTATGTGTTATGCAATTTGAAGTGGCTTCCTAAATGTTTGTTTGATTCTCAAAATAGAAGGGCACACTTGTTAATCCAAGGTCAGCCAACGTTTTCTGTACAGGTCAAGATAATAAATATCTTAGGTTTTGCAGGACATGGTCCATCCAAGTTCTTCCATGGATTGGATTTGGTCCATAGGCTGGACATTACTTATATCTTAAATATGTCCCAAAAGACCCCATTTCCAAATAAGTTCACATTCACAGGTACCAGCAGTTGGGGCTTTATCAGAAATTTTGTGGGGACACAATTCAACCCACAGCAAGTGTATAGCCTGGGACAGGCATTACTGAGAATATGGTGGCAGGCGAGTGAGGCATAATCCTCTCTTTAAGCAGCCTCTGTGGAATGGAGACAGAAGAGCACATAGCCAAAATATTTTTGGGTAGCGATGAGTGCTACTTAGTAAATTAAAAAGGGTCACAACATGAAAACTCGGGTTTTATGGCTGTGTCAGCAAGCTCCCTGTGCTGTTCTTAGTCTCACATCTCAAATCCCAAATCTTTGCACTTTACTGTCTAAGGAATTGGCTCCCAAATACCAATTGCAGCATTCTGACTTATTACTGAGTTTGGGAATCAATTGGTATGATGAGTGGGCTGGACAGGCTACCACTTACTTCATCATCTTGGAGCAAGCTACGTTAAAAGAAAGCTTCAGTTTTTTATGCATTAAATGGGATGATCCTGAGGGTTAAACAAACTAGGGTTGGTAAAGTGCTAAGCCCAGAGCCCCGCATGTAGGTCCTCAATGAAAGATCACTCCCTAGTGTGAACACGCGTGCATGCTGCTTTTTCTTTCTCTTCTTCCACTCCTCTTTTCTTTATACTTCCTTGTGCTCAAACTGCTTTCATTGTCATATTCCTAATTTCTGCTTCTATGTATTCCCTAGAATTCCCTCCTCCAGATTTCTGTTCATGGAGATCCTCCCCATTTTTCAGAGCCTATTTCCAATGCTGTGCACTTTTCCCTGTTGTCCCCACTGCATACAACCAACTCTTCCTTGGTCTAACTCTCCACAGACGTCCATGCCTGGATCCTACACTGCTACAGTGCGTCCTGCCCATGTGGGCAAGGACTATAAATTCTCCTCCAATTCCATGTCTAGGCTGCTGACATCCTTGCCAATGCCCCGCGTGATTCAGCCCTGTCCCCTCCAAGCCTCTTGGGAGGTGCCCTCGAATTATGCTCCCATGCCAAGCTCCCTCACAGTTGCTTATTTTTCAAACTTCCATCGTCTCTCTGGCCTGCAGGCTTTCCAGATACAGTTTCCTCTGCACTGTGACTCCCATATCTTCCCTTTCTTACATGGTGTCAGAGTCTCTCCACCTCCCTGTAAACTCAACAAGAGCAGAGCCTTGCACAGTCCCTGCCACACAGCAGTCATGCAACCATTTGACAAAGGGATGAAGGAATGAATGGATAGTTCCTTGCAGTAAGTAGTTGATGATCAAATCAGGGTTAATCGGAAAGTACTACAGATGGTCCCTGATTTGCTGATTGCTCTACTTAAGATTTTTCTACTTCACAGTGTTGCATGATGGTCACAATTTCAATGTAATATACAGTATTCAATAAATTACACGAGAGTGAACGATGCATGGAGCAAAGGCCTTTCCAGGAGGGGGTGGGCACATCCAGTGGCAGGAAGCTGATTGCACCCTCACTGAGGCACACCCAGCAGCTTGCGGCTTGGTGTATTCTGTACTGTGAGAATAGTGGTGGTTAGCAGGGGTTGGGGGCAGTCATGAACCCCCCTACTCATCCAGTTGAGAGTAGACACAAGGATCCAGAACTGAATTAAAGCCTCAGTTTTACCAACTAATGGGAAAGCTGGGTCGGGGCATATGGCAGTTTTGCCTGGTGCTTCCAGTACAGGGATCTGAGAGCAGGGGCGTAAGAAAATGTGCCACAGGATACATGCGTCCACAGGCATGTAAGAAAATAGGGGTGCCACAGAATGAATCCATCCCATTTTCCTGCTTCGGGGTACAGTGATCCCTATAGCTGATGATCTGGCCAGTCCTGTCTTGGGGAATAAGCTTGCGGGTAGCAGAGAGGATTGGTGAAATCTTGATGCAGACTGAGTTCCTTATACCCTTACATTTAAACACATGGAAATGAAATAGATGACGAAGACATAGGGAATCCTTGCAAACAAGGCAGTCAGGTAAGGACATAGACAACCATAATCCAAGATCATAGAGGTGGTAAGCCCTGTGAAAAGTTAGAACAGAGAGAGACACCAAAAAATAATGCTATTGGAAAGCAAGAGGTAAAGATTTAGTAACAGTAGTGATAGTGGACATATGGCCTTCATTGTTCCCCACGGGGTCATGCTTGTTACGGCCGGATATCTGAAATAAATTCAAATACATATAATGCTTCTGTGTTCTGAGCCTTAGTAGCCAAGCACTTTGGTTTAAGGGTAAAGGCTACAGATTATCCAGAGTTGGACACCAAGGCACTTGTTAAGACCAGTGAGTCTGATCCTGTTAGAATTCCCTGTGTACTACTGGGAGCAAATTCCTTTACTTTCAGTGGAACCACCTCCTCATTCTTAAATTTACAAAATAAGATGAAATAATATGAAAATTATTAGTGGTATCAAGATCCACATCCTATATACACAGGTTCATCTGGAGTCAGCTTGGCTTATTATATTCTTTTAAATAGAATATTAAAAGTCATAGATATTCATCCCAACCCAGAACTATAAATGTAATAAAGAATGCTTTGCTGTTGGTCTGAATGTGGAGGAAGATATTACAAAATCACATGAGGGTTATTTGTTAGTTATACTTCATGTAGTACTTCATAAACTATTATAAATGCAGTGGTAAATGAGCAAAGTCCCATAACATTTTTATCTTTTCAAAAAGTTTATGGACTTTGATGTTTTGAAGTTGTACATCCCAGACTGTTTTGAAGTTTGACATCTTTGACTGCCAAAATGAACTGGTGTACTTAACAATTTCGTTTTATTGCCTCTGTCAAAGAGACTGCCCGAAAAGAACAGTGAAATCATTGTACATGTGATACACGATTATAGAGTCATAGAAAGTCTTCAAAGAATATTTATTGACATGGGAAATGTCTAATGATGAAGTTAAATGAAAATTAGAATATAAAATCATCTGTATTACTATAGTTATAATATAAATATGTCCATGGATATGCATATATTATATATGTATAATAATATATAATAATGTATGCATAGTGTACTATTATATATAATTATAGTATATATACATTATACATATATTATTTTAATATATTTTTGTTACAGTTCTCTATTTGTAAAGATAGGAGAAAGGCTAGAATGAAAATAGCACAAAAATGCTTATAGTAGTTATGTACTTTTTCCCCTTTTAATTTGCCAAATTTTGTACAATAAATATATAGGCTTTATTATTAGAAACCTGAAAGCCTTTGTGTTTTGTAAAGAGCAATGGCATCATTTAGTTTAGTCGCTTTGGGCGCATCTTAGTAACCGCTGAAACAGTAAGGTGGCAAACTAGAAGATGTTAAAAATTCTTACACATAAGCATATGGCCCCTGCATTATGCAAAGGGCAGGAATAAGAGCCCTCTGTGTGCCCCGTGGGTTATGTGCCGCCTCCTTTGCCGCCATAGTCTGCATGCATGTCTGCCTATCTGTACTTGTCACCTCATGTCTCCCCTGCATTTTTTTTTTCTTCCTCACTAGATCAGGGTATTCTGAAAGGCAGGAACCATTTTTAAGTTATCTTTGTATTTCTAGTATTTGGAATAGTATCTGGAACAGGTGCTCAATCATTGTTTTCAATTCAAAATGGTCAAGAAATACAGAGGAGGTCCATCTCTCCCTCCTTCCGAGGTACTGATTTGCTATAGTCGGAAGAGTCTTCGGACTCTTCACCCAGACAGACTCCCATCCTCAGTATTCATTCAACAGTATGACTTACATCCTGCTGAAGATGGAAATCCACTGCTCTGAGAGGTAACTAACCTGTCCCACTATTGCCCACCTGTATTTATTGGAAAGGTTATCTTTCTAGAGGATTGAAATGTTTTCTGTTCAAGAAACGTTTTCCTTCAATGGAACTGAACTTACGGGAAGGAACTGGGTTTTGGGGTGGAGGGAGAGATGCATCTTTCTATTGTGAAGGAGGAAATTGCTGAAGAAATGGTGAAGGCTTAGGGAAGGACAACTTTAATAATAAAATCTTGTTATCATGTATGATGCTATTTAATACACATCATACGTGCTGACCTAGATTGTATTTGGATATAGGGCTATCTGCCCAGCATCCAGTCTCTCTTTTTTCTATTAACATCACTCTCCTCGCCCAATCTTAGTCCTTATAACTTGGGTGGGGCTGAGTCTACTCCAATTCCCAGTAATGAGCACAAGAGCTAAATAACTCCCACGAGAGCATTTAATTCTCCTCACATTGTGGTGTTTGTTCAGAGGTTGGCACCTGCCCCACGACAGGACATGAGATGCTATCCTTGCATTTTTGCTGGAACTATTGAGAAAGATGAATGTGCTTCCCCTGATGAGATTGTCAACCTGTTGGGTTGTTGACCTGGAACACTGGGGACCATTTTATCACCATGAAGGAGGAGACTGCTTGAGAATTAGGCCAACATAGGGAAAAATGGTGCCGAGAGACTGAGCTGAATCTTGATGACACTACTTCTACACACCTGAATTCAGCAATGCCTGAGTCAAAATCTTCCTGGAACTTTCAGTGCAGAATAAGAAACTCAAATGTTTTGCTTAAGCCTGTTTGAGTTGGATTCTGATTACTTGCAATGAATGAAGTCCCTTCTAATACAGAGGAGGTCTGTTCTTACTCCTTCCAAGATGCTGAATGCTTAGTGTTGGAAGTGTCTTTGAAACCAACATTTCTACCCTCGCCCAGAATAGACTCCGTTCTTCAACGTTCATTCAATTCTTTTAACAATATGGCTAATATACTCCTGGAGATGGAAAACCACTGCTGTGAGAGGTAACCCATTCCACCACTGCCCACCTGTATTTATTAGAAATGTTTCTTTCTAGAGAGAATCAAAATGTGGTATCTGGTGACTTCAACATCTGGTTTTAGTTCTGTCTTCTAGAGTAACAGAGATTAGAGTTCCTTTTTCTTTATATATTTGAATATTGCTATAACTAATGTCCTTTACTCAACCAAAATTACTTTCTCCAGACTGGCTATCACTTTCTATAATACAGTTTTTCTCTAAGTGTACTCCACAGACAGTATTTTCAGATATAATAAATGACACTTAGTCTTTCAGATAATTTTTTAGTATAAGCATGTTCCATGCAATATATTCATTGTTTATCTGAAATTCAAGTTTAACCTGGTGTCCTGTAGTTTTATGTGCTAAATCTGGCAACCTTATCCACAGACTACCTGGATCAGAATCACCTGGGGGCTTTCTACCCCAGTGGTCCTAACACAGAAAGTACTCTTGGTCACTGAAGTTTGAGAACCACTTCTTTAACTATTTCTCACACTTCTACTTGTCCTACTTTGGGCATACTTTTATTGGTTAATATTCCAAATTTTTGAAACTTTTAAAATAAAGCAATCTCAAGCAATGTCAAGGTTCTAGTGTATTTTGTAAAATGTATTAAGTGCTTTTAACATGCCAGACGGTGGTCTAGGCACTAAACAAGAATACCAAGGGCACTACCTTATAGAGTGTATGTTCTAGTGGGGCAGCCAGACAATAAACAAGTGAAAAAAAAAAAACAAAACTCAAATGCATCACAACAATTTTAAGCAGTGGTAAGGAGTATGAGTTGCCCCTATCCCCTGTGGGCTGTGAGGCTTTTGCAGAAGTCCTGGTTTTCATCTTTGACAACCTGTTCTTGTCCTGCCGAGCTTCTTCCAGTTCTTTCAAGAACACCGTGGCATAGTGATGAGAGACCAGGGGTTCTGAAGCCCAGTGGTCTTGCATTTGAATCCTAACTCTGACAATTAGTGTCTGTAGGACATTGGCTAAGATTCCTAACCACCATGGGCCTTGTTTTCTTAATCTGAAAAATATGAAGGTAATAGTTACCTCATCAGATTGTTGTGTGGGGATTAAATTAGTTAATACAAGTAAAATGCTTCGAACAGTTCCTGGCACATCGGGAGTGCCCAGGAAATTTATATATTATTCTTGTTGAGTACAGCATGCATGCTTTTTCCTGCCTTAGGATGCTATTGTCCATGTCTCCCTATTCAACAGGCTAATTTTGACTCATCCCTCATGCTCTAAGTTGTCATAGGAATCCCTTTTTGTCAGTTGTACCACATTCTGTTAAACAAAATGTGTCACAAGTCCAGCCCTGATTAAGGGAAATAGAGTCTATCTTGAGATGGGCAATGTCACGTTGCAAAGGAAGGGTGAAGAATTGAGGCCATTTTTGCAATCAACCTCCAGAGATGCCAGGAGAGCTGACAGAACTATTGCCGAGGGCATGCTAAAGCACACACTTTTAGTTATTAAAGTACCCAAAGGACCTTGTTACAAGACAACTTCAGCATCATGTCATGCCCTTCAATCTCAATATTGCAGGACTCAACCAGAATACTGTCATCCAGACTATTGGCTGTTCTCTTGGCTGTATTTGCTACCTTCTAAATGAAAATTTGCTGAAAGCAGTTTTGATGAAGACGTACGTGATGAGGATGAGAGAGAGAACCTGCAGTTGAGCAGACACATACACTTTGAGCTACATAATTATTTCTCAGTGGGGACAACTGCAGTTGGATGCCAGATCTGAGCAGCATGGGGCCAGGGGGCTTGAGGTCTGTAAGCATCAGATGCTTTTAATGCTACTGTTCTTGCTTTGCCATAAGAATGTCGCTCAAAAAAGGAGTCCCTCCCTCTGCCCATGAATAAGGCCTGCCTGCCAACACCAATTCCAGCTGTGAACATGTAATCAGCTCTTCTATGGCCCCAAAAGGGCGGTCCCAGAGGCCTAAATTTAATTTTCATGCATATTTGTCTTCTCTCTCTACTTTATGCAAACACTACTTTGTCACCAACACAGGCGCCAACTGTTTTGTTTGAATAATTGCTTGAAGTCAACCCCAAACTACAGGGAGCTTCCTTTTTCAGAAAAGCACATTTTGGTTAATTTTCAGCTAACCAAATGATATATCCCTTCACTTCCTTTAAAGTTGCAACAATGACTTCTATAAACATTTTATTCGTTTTGAAACAGTTCAACACCAATGTCAAGTTTATTATCTTCCACACTGGGTTGGTTGGAATGATCAAAAAAATGGGAGGTCTGTAGCCCCAGAGATCATCTTGCCTCTGTGGTTTTTCTTGCAAATAATTCTCTATTCATCTTGTTACAATCAGCTGGTCCTAGAGTGGCTGTAATAACCCAAGTGGATGTTTGTGGTCATAATAGAGATGAGAGGGGACAGGGAGAAATGAACTCTTGTAAAACAAAGATCTTATTTTTACGGAAATGAATAGGAACTCTGAAGTAAGGATGAGACATACGGAAAAGCATAAACTATGAACAGAACATTTCAAAATAGAAGGTTCTCAGAAATGCTCCATATGGCCCAGTAGTATTTAAGGCAACAGAAAACAGTTCATGTTGCAGCTGCAAGTGTTCATTCCTGGGGTTCAGGACTCAGTTCACAAAACTATACTTTCTAATTGGTCTTCAAGAATGCTTCCTTTGTCTACCTCTTGGGTCTAATTCTTTTAGCATTAGTGGGAGAGTTAAATTGATAAGTTATTAATTAATATCTGTAATTTTAATTCATTGTATTTTATTCTTAATGGAGTGATAAATTACTCAAAAGTTATCATCATCTCTACTTCTACCCTACTGAGTCAATAGTTATGAATACTTAATGTAGTTCTAGAGCCTATTTAGAGTTTGTGGGCTCTAACTATTACAGCATCATAATATTGCAAGTGCTTGTAATTGAAATATAAATCTAAAAATGATACAGGTCATTAAAATGACATCTCCTAAAAGCACAGTTGATGTATATATATATATATATATACCTTTAATGCTAATCAACAACTACTATCTAATGAATCAAGCAAAAAATTACACATTTTAAAAGGGATTTCTGATTTTTGCTGTAGTATTAAAAGGGGTTTGGGAAAAATCAGTGTGAGCACCAAATCAATTTTGTTATTTAGAATTGTCTATAGATAAAATGCATCTCAATATACTTTGTGCCTCATAGAAAATGAAGATAAAATGTTTCACTCAGCAAATATGACACTAAGTCATGTTGAATGATTGCATCATAATATGTTATATGCCAGACTTATCAAAGGAGAGGTCTTCTTTTTAATATCCTGGGCTGTGGTGTAACTCAGTCCTATGGATATTGGCTTTGTTCTTTCTTGATTTCTATCTTAAATTTGAATTCTGAAAATGAAATAGAAATATCAAGAAGAAGGAGGGAAATGTATATCCCCACATACATTTAATGAATCTATTTTAGTATATTCAATAGGATGTCTACTTTTCTAACAGTGAGCATCAAAAGTTTCGCTTTTAGGTACTTTAAGTTTGCAAATTCTGCCAGGACTGTAACTGTGCTAGTGTATTGACATTCATTTCTTCATTTTATTTTGTCTGCACAGTCCTGATCTACTAATTTCATTTTTCCTGTCACATAAGTGTATTTTTTTTTCCTATGGCTGAATTGACTGGATGTTTGGCTTTGTGTAGACATAGCCTCACTGTAAGTTGGCCCCCTAATTCAATAATTCACCATGAAGACTGGTTTTCATCCTCACTGTGTTCAACAGGCATCTAATCAACCATTAATTTCCTTTTTGTTGGATGAACATAATAACTATTTCTGTCTTTCTTTCTGATGGGAAACAGAGGCAGAGAGGATTAGGGGCTGCCCTAAATCAGAAAGGAGGATTGTAGAATTTAGCTTCAGGATTTGGTCCTCGAGCGTTTAGTAATGATGTGGCAGGAAAAGGACAGAATTTTGGGAGATTAAAAAAAAAAGAGTTGAAGAATGCATTAATGGATACGTGCATCTACGAGGTGCTAAACATTGTTCTAGGCTCTTTAGGTCACTCATATAAAATTGCTTCTACCAATGAAAAGTTGGGCAACTTGAATAAGTAACAATTTCTCAGCCCATTTCTTCATTATATGTAGGATGAAACAAATAGAGTGGAACTGAGCAATATTTTATAAATCAGTAGGAAATATGCAATTATGCATTATTGTTACCTGGGGTCTTGTCATTATCACTTTTGTTATTTGAATTCATTAAGAGATGGTAATTTTACCATATTTATGAGGATGAAAAATCCCTCACAACTTATCTAAATATCTTTTTCATTAGCACTCCATTTTTTAAAAAGAGAAATAGCAGATTAATCTAATGCATTCTTATGAATTTAGACATTTGTGGTAGCAAGACCAGTTTAAACTTGTAAAGAAATGTACTTTTAGTTAATGAAATACGATAATAGTGATTAGCTTTATTAACGTTATTTTGATTAGACATCAGACATCACAAAGGTCAACCTGAACTACATTGGTCAAAAGGAAGATGGCTTATATATCTAAAGTACATGGACTTTGGGGTGAGGTGGGCCTTAGTGGAGGTCCGAGCCAGAGCCTTCAGTGCCCCTAGGACCCTCCACCTTGTGCTGCTCATTCTTCCTGCATGTCATCTTCTTTCCCTCACTGTAGCCTCTTCAGTGAAGATTGAAAACGTGGTCTCCAATAGTGCCCAGCTCATATTTCACAGCATCTGGCTCCAGAAAAGAACTGAGATGTGATCTCTTAGGTCATGAGAGCAAACATCTATCAAAGGAGTTTGATTGTCCAAATATAGGTCAGTCACACAAGCCTGGACCAATCAACTGTGGACAGCGAGTGGGGTACCATCTTGATAGACAAGGGAAGAATCTTAGAGGAAGGATGTTCTCATTTAAAACAATTAGAGTCACAAGATCATTTTCCTGAAGAAAGCGTGTGTCTGTGTGTATCTCTGTGTGTGTGTGTGTGTGTGTCTAAGCAGACAGAATAAAACATAACTACTGTACAAGTATAAAGTGTAATAAAGCATTGCCAACAAGAGATTTTTTTTAAAAAACTTGCTTAAATACTTAGAATGGTTGTTTTTATATATTAATGCATTTATTTAACAACTATTTATAGAACATTTACAGAGTACAACATGCTAGGCATTGGGCTGGATTCAGAAAAGTCTAAAGACACATATCTTTTGCTCCTTTATTCTCTCTAATAATTTTTTTTTTTTTACAAAAAATGTCATACTCACCTAATACATTCATTTGCAATATTTCCAGTGAGAATACAGGAAGAAAGAACTAGAGACATTCAGAAGGAGGGAGGTTGTTGTAAACATAAGCAGCAGAGGAAAGCTTCACAAAAGGAGTGGTACTTACCCTGGGCCTTGAAGGACAGGTAGAGAACATTCCAGGTGGAAGGCATGCAAGGTGGAGTAAATGTGCAGAGGTGAAAAGGAAGAGTCGATGCCAAGACAAGTGGATAAGTGTTTGGAAACACCATTATTTTGAGTAACTTTGTCTCTGATATTTATTTACACAATTAATTTGCCTAGAAAATGCCCTTTTCAAAGATAGTTCAAAAGTTGGCTCTTTTCTATCCCTTATCTGATTGCGCCTTGCACTGAAATAACGGAATATAATCGGTGAGGTTGTATTGTAGTTACTTAGTGTAGGCATGGTAAATTGATTCAATGCTGAATCCATGCATCATATGAATGAGAATTCTTTTTTATTTTATTTAACAGAAACTTATTATAAGTCAAGAGTTGATAGATATAGACTTGGATCTTGTATTACACTGAAAGTTACTATTTTATGCACAAATGTGTATGAAACAACTACAAGGGTGAAATAGACACCTCTTGTCTCTCTCCTCGTGGAGTTTGGAGTAATTTGGAAGGCAATATAATTCAATAAGCAATTTAAACCTTGACCGTTCCGATAAAGCAAGTCAAAGGAACTGTGAAAACATACAGGGAAAGGAAGGATCATAAACATTCAGAGGCTAGAAAAAAGAACTGAAGGAGAAGTAGGAATTTGTTAGAGGAAGAAGGACTGTGAAAAATATTCCACAAGGAAATAAAGTATCTGCGTGTCCAGTGAGAGTATAATGTACTCAAGGAACTAAAAGGAACTCCTCTCTTGCTTTTCCTCCCCTCCTTTTTCCTCCTCCTCCTCTTCTTCCCTGCCTCCCCATCCCCTATGACAGTAAAACCAGAGTAAGGGAGCTAAGATACATGCTTATTCATGGGTCTTTCTCTTGCTTATTTTTTTCCCCCGATCTCTTAAATAGAAATAAATTCCAACATTTTAAAAGTTGGTGTATAGTAACCAGAACCTCATATCTGTAAATAACAGGCTTTCTTACTTGACAATCTTGATTAGAGATAGTTCTATTTTGAATATGAGAGGATGGGATTCTGGTTATTATATTGAACCTAGAACTGTCTTTCATCAAGATTGTAAAAAAAGCTTGTTATTTGCTCTTAGGTTTATAGTATTAAATGAATGTGACACCATTTAGCTCCCTCAATTCTGTCATCGTACTTCACTTTGTGTAGCCTTTAACCAAAATGCCGTGTTGTCAATAAATCCAGGTCTTTGAGTTCTCTTCTAACAATCGTATTATATTAACAGTCTAAATTTTACTGATAGAATTTTCATGGACTTGTTGGTCTTTACCATTATAGAAGACCATTCAAGGCTTTGAGATGTTAAAATATGTGATTTCTCTTTTCAGTCCGGGAAGTT